CTTCTGAGTTCAGCTTCAGCTTCCAGTTGATTGCAACACAAGCTCGAAACTGCAACTAAAAGCTAAGGTTTTGTCTACAAGTCTGCACGATCATGAATCAAAGCAATATTAAACCGCTTACAATAAGCAAAACATTAAATCATTACCTTCAAATGCGAGTCCAGATGGCACTGAGTTCGCCTGAAGATGATACCCGGACAAATAATCTTCCTTAGCTTGAAGTTCTTTCGCCACTTCTTCGTCCATAACAGTAGCAAGGGAACATGGAGTTACAGCTGGGCTTGTACCCCACGGACTTTTACTTGGTGTGTTTCCAATGGGAGTATTTACAACGATATTTTCAGATATTTCCATAATTTAAAATAGTCTTTTTTTTCAACTCTGTATAAATATTAGCTTAATTCAAAATTCTTATTGGGATTTTAGGCTGCGAACTGTCGTACACGTACAAAAATATGGAACAAATAACAAGATGTTGTCCAAGGATCGGATAATTACTGCACGTACCTAGGCAATAGATCCGTGAAAAACCAGAATAATTGTCGGTAATCTGATAACTGTGAAAGATAGGGATGAATAGGGTGAAAATCAGTAAACATAGCTTATAAATACTGTACACCGACCAGATTGCGAAGATGAGAAAGGTTGTGATGCAATGTGACGTACTGCGCATGTTATGAAACTGGCACGCTCCCAGAGCCCGCGCTTGTCAAGGACGACGGGCGGAAGGAGTTGGACGAGAAAACCACCCTGCCACATCTCACAAAGGAGAACGAAATGGTGACGTTATTCAGCAGAACAGCAGAACAGAAAAGGCCGGAGCAGAATTTTAGCAGATCACGACAATGATATTATGTTCCTGATCACGAGAAGACGGTCTGCTTCTACAAGTTAATCGAGTACCAAGGGGAAAATGCCTTCGCGGGGCTATATTGGTCGATTTTTTTTTTTTTGGTCAAGAAAATTAATGTCCGCGAAGTACAAGTTTGCATACTGTGAACACTAGGGGTTCTGTTATTTCATTGGCTCGCGGCTTTCAAGTTGACACATTCCTCTGTGAAGGCGTGATATGTTTATAAATCTTTAGAAGGCGAAAACTCGCACTCGTTTTGGGAGAGAATCCCTTCTCTTTAATTGAATTAATAGGGTATGCAGATTTGACGGTTTTCCATGAAATTTGGTCAGAACATTCACTGATAGATATGGAACAAAAGCGTGTCAGCGAATTCCTTTA